GTCAAAAATAACAAACTTTAACGATTATTATCTCAAAAATTACAACTGATACGAAAAAAATGTATTGTATCATTTCGATTTAGAATTAAGTTTTTTATCATAATCAATTTAATATACGACTTTTAAAACACCCTCCATGAAGATATCGCCACAAAAACTGACAGGATTAAATTCCACAAAACCGTTAGTTGGTAAATTTAGCAAAACATCAGCTGTGTAAGATTTGGATAAGAAAGGGATGTAATTTTGAATAGAAAAACGAATTTAAAAACGAAAATTAAGAGTAAAATTTGTTGAGATTAGCCACCATTCTTAAGATATTTGCTTTCAAACTTAACTCAAAATTCTTGATAAACTAAAGTTTTTATCAAATATTGTTGATTAAGATATTTAATTTTAACGTGGATATATCATTATTATAAATTATTTTATGTTTTTACACGATATAGTGTAATAGTTAATTGCGGAAAAGAACGGTTCGACAAACCACTACGTTATATGGCCATTGTTTAAAATAAACATCGTTACTACACGAACTCAAGACAATGGAACGGTTTGGTTTGCGGAGATTGTTTAATTACGCGTACGTTACCGGTTAAACGTTGAGACTTCCGCGTTTTTTTTAAAGAGCTTTCACTATACCCACTTCTTTCTCCTAATTAATTATCTTTTTATTTTCAACGAAATCAATTAGCGTTATTGTTATTATTAAAAATTGGTTTGTATTTGTAAAAACTAATAAACGGTTTGTTTTCACCGCAAATAAAAACCGTATCGTGATAAGTCAACCCCTTCAAATATTTACCCCAGTAATTGAAGCTTTTGGTCACAGACCGCCGACGACGTAGTTTCCCCTCCCTCCCCTTCAACGGTAGCCGGATCGCCCCTGGGGCAGTAATAGAAACATAAATTTCTGATGAGCAGGTAGCGAGAACACCAACCCACGAACCCACACGTTTTAATAAAACATTTCGACGCGTTTCGATTTGATCGGGAAGAGGTAAAAAAAACCTTTTATGTAACTTGATGTAGAGAATATTCGTGTATTTAAGTTTAATTTGAAACAAAGAGATGATACGAAACGGGATTTTAATTAAAAGTACAGTTAAATCTAAGAGATTTTAGTTTCTCACGCGCTTTAAGTACACCTTGCTTCAAAAGCCTCTTCAACACACATACAGTGTGTTAATTAATTATCGTACCCGACGTCATCATTACAAGTATGCAACCAATATTACAGTGCAATAGGCATCATACGCAAATCGCGTATTGCAATAAAAATAGTGTGATATTAGTTGCATACTTGCAATGATGACGTCGGGTACGATAATTAATTAACACACTGTATGTGTGTGCAAATTGCGTTAAATTGTTCTACACCGCTTCAACTATAATAATACAAATTTAAATTTAACTCTAAATAAAAATGAAGTTATTGATATAAAAAAATATTGTTTTAGAAATTGGTTAAATTGATTTTTATAACGCGTGCAGAAATTTATTATTCGGTATATTGTGTAATTCGATCACAAAATCACATTTGAACCGGAAACCCGTTGAAACTCTCTCGACCCGATTTTACTCGATTTAGTCCCCATCGAGTAATTGCACAACGAACTCATTGGCTTCCACCTAATCGCATCAACCCGATTTTATTTATTATATTCTTTTTTTCTTTCTACGAATCCTATTTTTTCCCACACCCAGTGAAAATAGGAAGAGTTAATAATCACTCAAGGCATTGTGTAAATGAAACAATAACCTTTTTGCGATTCGATTAAATTAATTACGCTGGAGGTCATTAAATTTCTTTTGCAGCTAATAACTATAATGATGGTTCAAAAACATTTGATTCAAAATCAATAACTTACTATTCGTGCATTAATTGGCATAAGAAATCACTATGTTGTATGTTTTTATTGAATTAAAACTAGAACTAACACTAGACCTAGAACTAGAAAGCTTTAGGTTTAGCCGTGCGTCTCTCAAGACGGCTCAAATATCTCAAGAATGCAAGCTTATCTCTAAAAATTTTACCCTTTATTTTCGTTTTTAAATTTGTTTTTCTATACAAATATACATTCTTTAATCATCCCAATCTTACACAACTTGTGTTTTGCTAAATTTACCAACAAACAGTTTTTTGAAATTTAATCCTGCCAGGTTTTGTGACGACAACTTCATGGAAAATGTTTCAAAAGTGGTCTATTTAATTGATTATGATAAAAAACTTAATTCTAAATCGAAATGCTACAAACAACTTTTTTTGTATCAGTTGTAATTTTTGAGATAATAATCATTAAAGTTTGTTATTTTTGGCTTAGCTAATATATCGATTTTAGAAGCAAATATCTCAAGAACGGTGGCTAATCTCAAAAAATTTTACTCTTAATTTTCGTTTTTAAATTCATTTTTTTATCTAAATATACATCCTTTAATAATCAAAATCTTACACAACTTGTATATTGCTAAATTGACCAACAAACAGTTCTGTAGAATTTAATCCTATCCGTTTTTTTTGCGATAACTTCATGGAAAATGTTTCAAAAGTCGTGTATTAAATTAATTATGATAAAAAAGTGAATTCTAAATCGAAATGATACAACAAATTTTTTTCGTATCAATTGTAATTTTTGAGATAATTATCGTTAAAGTTTGTTATTTTTGACTTAGCTAATATATCGATTTTAGAAGTAAATATCTCAAGAACGAAGGCTTATCTCAAAAAATTTTACTCTTTATTTTCGTTTTTAAATTTGTTTTTCTATATAAATATACATCCCTTACTCATCCAAATCTTACACGACTCGTTTTTTGCTAAATTTACCAACAAACAGTTTTCGGGAATTAAATCCTGTCAGTTTATGTGGCATTAACTTCATGGAGAGTCTTTCAAAAGTGATATATTAAATTAGTCATGATAAAAAACTTAATTCTAAATCGAAATGCTTCAATAAATTTTTTTCGTATCTAATGTAATTTTTGAGATAATTAACGTTAAAGATTGTTATTTTTGGCTCAATTAATATACTCCAAATAGATGCAAATATCTCAAGAACGAAGGCTTATCTCAAAAAATTTTACTCTTTATTTTCGTTTTTAAATTTGTTTTTCTATATAAATATACATCCCTTACTCACCCAAATCTTACACGACTCGTTTTTTGCTAAATTTATCAACAAACAGTTTTTTGAAACTTAAACCTAACAGTTTTTGTTGCGATATCTTAATGGAGAGTGTTTCAAAAGTCGTCTATTAAATTGATTATGATAGAAGACTTAATTCTAAATCAAAATGCTTCAATAAATTTTTTTCGTATCTAATATAATTTTTGAGATAATTAACGTTAAAGATTGTTATTTTTGGCTCAATTAATATACTCCAAATAGATGCAAATATCTCAAGAACAGAGGCTTATCTCAAAAAATTTTACTCTTTATTTTCGTTTTTAAATTGGTTTTTCTATACAAATATACATCCCTTAATCATCCAAATCTCACACGACTCGTTTATTGCTAAATTTACCAACAAACAGTTTTCTGGAATTAAATCCTGTCAGTTTAAGTGGCATTAACTTCATGGAGAGTGTTTCAAAAGTGATATATTAAATTAGACATGATAAAAAACTTAATTCTAAATCGAAATGATGCAATAAATTTTTTTCGTATCAGTTGTAATTTTTGAGATAATTATCGTTAAAGTTTGTTATTATTATGGGTTGAATTAATATATCCATATTAGAAGCAAATATCTCAAGAATGGTGGCGTATCTCAAAAAATTTTACTCTTAATTTTCGTTTTTGAATTCATTTTTCTATCTAAATCTACATCCCTTACTTTTCCAAATCGTACAGGACTCGTTTTGTGCTAACTTTATCAACATACAGTTTTCTGGAATTTAATCCTGTTAGCTTCTGTGGTGATAACTCTATGGATAGTGTTAGTTCTAGTTTTACACTACCACTGTTACTATATAGAACTAACACTATACCTAGAACTAGAATCATTCGGGTTTAGCCGTCTTTAGAGACGTGCGGCTAAACCCGAATGATTCTAGTTCTAGGTATAGTGTNAAATAGATGCAAATATCTCAAGAACGGAGGCTTATCTCAAAAAATTTTACTTTTTATTTTCGTTTTTAAATTTGTTTTTCTATATAAATATACATCTCTTACTCACCCAAATCTTACACGACTCTTTTTGTGCTAAATTTACCAACAAACAGTTTTTTGAAATTTAATCCTACCAGTTTATGTGGCTATAACTTCATGGAGAGTGTTTCAAAAGTCGTCTATTAAATTGATTATAATAAAAAACTTAATTCTAAATCTAAATGATATAATACATTTTTTTCGTATCGGTTATAATTTTTGAGATAATTAACTTTAAAGTTTGTTATTATTGGCTTAATATATCCATATTAGAAGCAAATATCTCAAGAACAGTGGCCAATCTCAAAAAATTTTACTCTTAATTTTCGTTTTTAAATTCATTTTTCTATTTAAATCTGTATTCCTTACTTTTCCAAATCTTACACGACTCGCTTTTTGCTAACTTTACCGATGAACAGTTTTCTGGAATTTAATCCTGTTAGTTTCTGTGGTGATAACTCTAGGGATAGTGTTAGTTCTAGTTTTACACTTGCACTATCACTAGAACTAACACTATATCTAGAACTAGAATTATTCGGGTTTAGCCGTCTTGAGAGACGTGCGGCTAAACCCGAATGATTCTAGTTCTAGGTATAGTGTTAGTTCTACATAGTAACAGTGCTAGTGAAAAACTAGAACTAACACTAGACCTAGAACTAGAAAAATTCGGGTTTAGCCGTGCGTCTCTCAAGATGGCTAAACCCGAATGATTCTAGTTCTAGGTATAGTGTTAGTTCTGGTTTTACACTAGCACTATGACTAGAACTAACACAAGACAAAATTAAATATTTTTACTCTAGCAAAATGTGTCTAATAACTATAATGATGGTTCAAAATCAAAAAACTTACCATTTGAGCATACACTTGAAGTATCCGGATGTCCGGAACTATCTGTATCGCTATCGTGATGTAAAGGTTGTGAAGATAATGATAAATCTCTTGGTCCTGGACTTGGAGATCGTGGACTTCTTAAAAGGGCGCCGCCATCTGGTGGTGGTCCGCCGCTTAAGATATCCGTTATCATGAATCGCGATCGTGTGGCCGCTGTCTGTGGCATGGCCCTGGACTCGTCCTGCACAGTCATGCCACTGACCGAAAGTCCCGGCCCGCGATCCTCCCTTATTTGCAACACTTTGCCACCCGTTTCAAAACGTCCACCCCAAAATAATAAATCGAATAAATCAAAAAATAATCTTTCACTAACACCAAAATTTTGTTCTCAACTTAACCGCAAATTAAATAAGCATATAAATAAATAAACATCCCGCAAACTAAATAACAATCACAACAATTATTGTAATTCAAAAAAAGTTGATGTTGAAAACTTCTTTGATTTGAATCTTCTTAACTTCACAACTTTAAGGGTAGATTTTTTTTTTAATTTTTGTTATTTTTTGAAGCTGTGCTTGAACCGTTGGTCGTTGATCGACACTAACTCTACGTGAGTCGACCCGCGAATAGACCGTTTCAAACCAGCCATGTTTCTCCCCCCTCTCCATTCAAAGAAATCCTCCGGGTCTCCCTACCCGGATTTAGTGAAAAAGGTCCGGACCAATCGACGAAGAGCTTGCAGGAAACCAAGACCAATTATCGTCTGCCGGGCGGTTCCTGCTGACGATTCGAAACGTTACCGAACTGTTTTTGGGGCGTAGACAACTTACAGACCGTACTCCCGGAGCGATCCGGAGTCGGGCGGTCCCCTTTTGCTTCCGCCGTCTTCTTAATGCTCTTTCGAGTGGGGACCGTTTCTCGTTTTAATCGGGGATTTGGTGCTAAGTTTATTTGATTTATCGTTCGTTTTTCGCACCAACACGACTTGGAATGGAGGGGGTAATTAGCTGTCGAGGTTTCGGTTTATGGAGAATGCTTTTTGGGGGAAGTCCCCACTCCACACGACACTGATTATTATCCACGTTGTATTTTATTTAAACACGTGTAATTGTTGAATTTGTACGGGTTTTAGTTAGGATTTAAGTTTGACATTAGATGAAACAATAAATTGATTTATGTATAACTTTTTGATTCAATCTGCAAACTTAAAAGTAACCTCACACAATCTTATACAATCTCAAAGATGTTATTTGTCAATTACAAACCGATTTAGAGACAATTTTTTTATTTTAACTCGTTTTTAGGTCAATTTACGATATTTTTTATACAAAGAATTTCTCCCCATCATTTTTAGTTTCAGATTTATATTTATAATAATTTTCTTATCCAACATTTTAAATTTAGGTATATTTGGATTTGGAATGTCTTAAGTTGGTAATATTGATCGTTGGAATAAAATAGTCTCTATCAAACAATATTTAGATTAATTTAAAACATTTTTCATCCAAAACATATCTTTCCATTAATTTTAATTTATTACTTATAACCAATTCTGTAATCCACTATGTGGTATATAAGTATTTTTTGACTTAGGGGTTTTTAACTTGGTAGCATTGACTGATAGATTGTAACAGCTACTTTTAACTGGTTTTTAGATTAATTTGCGGTATTTTTTATACAAAGAATTTCTTCCCATCATTTCTAATTTCAGATTTGTATTTAATTTTTTTATCCAACATTTTAAATTTAAGCATATTTGGATTTGAAACGTCTTAAGTTGGTAATATTGACCAATAGAATGAAATAGTGTGTAACAAATATTATTTAGATTAATTCAAAACACTTTTTATCACAAACATTTCTTTCCATCATTTTTAATTTATGACCAATTCTCTAATCCATTATGTCGTATATGAGCATCTTTCGACTTAGCGATTTTTAAGTTGGTAAGATTGACTGATAGGTTATGACAGTTACTTTTAACTCGTTTTTAAATTAATTTGCGATATTTTTTATACAAAAAATTTATCTCCATCATTTATACTTACAGATCTACACATAATTTTGTTATTTAACATTTTAAGTTTAGGTACCTATATTTGGATTTAGAATGTGTTAAGTTGGTAATATTGATCGATGGAATGAAATAATTTGTATTAAACATTATTTAGGTTAATTTAAAACATTTTTTATCCCAAACATTTCTTTCCATCAATTTTAATTTATGACTTACAACCAATTCTCTAATCCAGTGTGTCGTATATGAGCATCTTTCGACTTAGCAATTTTTAAGTTGGTAGCATTGATTGATAGGTTGCAACAGTTATTTTTAACTGGTTTATAGATTAATTTGCGATATTTTTTATACAAAGAATTTCTCCCCATCATTTTTACTTACAGATTAATATTTAATTTTGTTATCTAACATTTTTAAACTTAGGCATATTTGGATTTGAAAAGTCTTAAGTTGGTAATATTGATTGATGGAATGAAATAGTCTGTATTAAATATTATTTAGGTTAATTTAAAACATTTTTCATCCCAAACATTTCTTTCCATCATTTTTAATTTATGACTTACAACCAATTCTTTAATCCAGTATGTCGTATATGAGCATCTTTCGACTTAGCGATTTTTAAGTTGGTAGCAGTGACTGATAGGTTATGACAGTTACTTTTAACTCGTTTTTAAGTTAATTTGCGATATTTTTTATACAAAAATTTCTCCCCATCATTTTTAGTTTCAGATTTATATTTAACTTTGTTATTTATCATTTTAAATTTAGATATATTTTGATTTGGAAGGTCTTAAGTTGGTAATATTGACCGATGGAATGAAATAGTCTGTATCATACATTATTTAGATTAATTTAAAACGTTTTTCATCTCAAACATTTCTTTCCATCATTTTTAATTTATGACTTACAACCAATTCTCTAATAAAGTATGTCGTATATGAGCATCTTTCGACTTAGTGGTTTTTAAGTTGGTAGCATTGACTGATAGGTTGTAATAGTTACTTTTAACTCCTTTATAGATTAATTTGCGATATTTTCTATACAAAGAATTTCTCTCCATCAATTTTAGTTTCAGATTTATATTTAATTTTGTTATCTAACATTTTAAATTTAGGTATATTTGGATTTGGAAGGCCTTAGGTTGGTAATATTGATCGATGGAATAAAATAGTCTCTACCAAACATTACTTAGGTTAATTTAAAACATTTTTCATCCCAAACCTTTCTTTCCATCATTTTTAATTTATTACTTATAACCAATTTTCTAAACCAGTATGTCGTATATGAGCATCTTTCGACTTAGCGGTCTTTAAGTTGGTAGCATTGACTGATAGGTTGTAACAGTTACTTTTAACTCGTTTTTAAATTAATTTGCGATATTTTTTATACAAAAATTTCTCCCCATCAATTTTAGTTTCAGATTTATATTTAATTTTGTAATTTAACCTTTTAAATTTAGGTATATTTTGATTTGGATGGTCTTAAGTTGGTAATATTGATCGATGGAATGAAATAGTCTGTATCAAACATTATTTAGATTAATTTAAAACGTTTTTCATCCCAAACATTTCTTTCCATCATTTTTACTTTATGACTTATAACCAATTCTATAATCCAATATATCGTGTTTGAGTATCTTTCGACTTGGAGGTTTTCAAGTTGGCAACATTAACCGATAGATTGTAACAGTTACTTTTAACTCGTTTTTAAATTAATTTGCGATATTTTTTATACAAAAAGTTTCCCTCCATCATTTTTAGTTTCAGATTTATATTTAATTTTGTTATCTAACATTTTAAATTTAGATACATTTTGATTTGAAAGGTCTTAAGTTGGTAATATTCATCGATGGAATGAAATAGTCTGTATCAAACATTATTTAGATTAATTTAAAACATTTTTCATCTAAACCATTTCTTTCCATCAATATTAATTTATGACTTACAACCAATTCTGTAATCCAGTATGTCGTATATGAGCTTGAATCTTTCGACTTAGCGGTCTTTAAGTTGGTAGCATTGACTGATAGGTTGTAACAGTTACTTTTAGCTCGTTCTTAGATTAATTTGAGATATTTTTTACTGAAAAAATTTCTCTCCATCATTTTTAGTTTCAGATTTACATTTAATTTTGTGATCTAACATCTTAAATTTAGGTTTATTTGGATATAAAGCTCTTAAGTTGGTCTATAGAATAAAATAGTCTGTATCAAACAATATTTAGGTTAATTTAAAACATTTTTCATCCAAAACATTTCTTTCCATCATTTTTTATTTATCACTTATAACCAATTCTATAATCCAATGTATCGTACATGAGTATCTTTCAACTTAGGGGTTTTTTGGTTGGCAACATTGACTGATAGGTTGTAATAGTTACTTTTAACTCATTTATAGATTAATTTGAGATATTTTTTATACAAAAAGTTTTTCTCCATCATTTTTAGTTTCAGAATTGTATTAAATTTTGTTATTTAACATTTTAAATTTAGGTATATTTTGATTTCGAAGGTCTTAAGTTGGTAATATTGATCGTTGGAATAAAATAGTCTGTATCAAACAATATGTAGGTTACTTTAAAATATTTCTCATCCAAAAAGATTTCTTTCCATGATTTTTACTTTATGGTTTATAACCAATTCTATAATCTAATATATCGTGTTTGAGTATCTTTCGACTTAGAGGTTTTCAAGTTGCCAACATTGACCGATAGGTTATAACAGTTACTTTTAACTCGTTTTTAGATTAATTTGAGATATTTTTTACTGAAAAAGTTTCTCTCCATCATTTTTAGTTTCAGATTTACATTTAATTTTGTGATCTAACATCTTAAATTTAGGTTTATTTGGATATAAGTCTCTTAAGTTGGTAACATTGCTCTATGGAATAAAATAGTCTGTATCAAACAATATTTAGGTTAATTTAAAACATTTTTCATCCAAAACATTTCTTTCCATCACTTTTTATTTAAGACTTATAACCAATTCTGTGATCCACTATGTCGTATACGAGTATTTTTCGACTTAGAGGTTTTCAAGTTGGCAACATTGACCGATAGGTTATAATAATTACTTTTAACTCGTTTTTGGATTAATTTGCGATATTTTTTATACAAAAAGTTTCTCTCCATCATTTTTAGTTTCAGATTTATATTTAATTTTGTTATCTAACATTTTAAATTTAGATATATTTTGATTTGGAAGGTCTTAAGTTGGTAATATTGATCGATGGAATGAAATCGTCTATATAAAACATTATTTAGGTTAATTTAAAACATTTTTCATCCCAAACATTTTTTTCCATCATTTTTTATTTATGAATTATAACCAATTCTGTAATCCAATGTATCGTATATGAGTATCTTTCGACTTAGAGGTTTTCAAGTTGGCAACATTGACCGATAGGTTGTAACAGTTACTTTTAACTCGTTTTTAGATTAATTTGCTATATTTTTTATACAAAGAATTTCTATAATCCTTCCAAACGTTTTCTAAAGAGTGAAATGAAAGAGGACATCGCCAATTAAATTTGTTTTGTTCAAACATAGCATAGCGTAATCAAATAATAACGACTTCCATCGTCTCTAATTACAGTT